TCGCACCGGAACGCACGGTACCACAGTGCTGCGTGATTGTAAAAATTGCGCGTGCCGCTTTATTCTGAAGTGAACTTTGTCTCTAGCGCTGCGTTTCTGTATTTTATTTAACATAAAAAGATGTGTTTTTTTTTTTTTATCCGATTAATCGGCCAACTAATCGATTTTATGACCGTGAGGGGGCTGTACCCGTCACCTCGGTTTATAGTGAGGTTCTTGTGGGGGTGTGTCCCCCTCCCCCCTAAACCTCTTCAGTCCTGGGGACTTCATGGGATTTCACACCCTCGGCAGGCCCGTGGTCTCTGACCTTGGAGAGGGGGTTGTCTGTTCTAGGAGTCGCAGTACCAGTTCTTGTTTCTTCATCCTTAGAAGTGGGCGGAGTCTTAGGACCTTCCTTCTTGGACCACTTGCTCTTGTAAGGACTCGTTCCCGGCTCCCGCGTCTCTTCTAGGAATTTGTTCCTTTTCCCATGTTTTTGTTCTTTCCCTGAATGATGATGTTGTTGTTGGGCTCGGGATGTCCAGCTTCCTGCTTGCTCTATGACTCCTTGCCCAGCTTCCTGCTTGCTCTATGACTCCTTGCTCAGCTTCCTGCTTGCACTATGACTCCTTTCCCACCTCCCTGCTTGCTCTCTGACTCCTTTCCCACCTCCCTGCTTGCTCTCTGACTCCTTTCCCACCTCCCTGCTTGCTCTATGACTCCATGCCCAGCTTCCTGCTTGCTCTATGACTCCATGCCCAGCTTCCTGCTTGCTCTATGACTCCTTGCCCAGCTTCCTGCTTGCTCTATGACTCCTTGCCCAGCTTCCTGCTTGCTCTATGACTCCTTGCCCAGCTTCCTGCTTGCTCTATGACTCCTTGCCCAGCTTCCTGCTTGCTCTATGACTCCTTGCCCAGCTTCCTGCTTGCTCTATGACTCCTTGCCCAGCTTCCTGCTTGCTCTATGACTCCTTGCCCTCTTGGTCTGGGACCTCTGGTTGTCCGTGTCCTCCCTCGGGTCGTGTTGGCGGGATCTCCTATCGGGAAGGGTGTTCGGCCCAGTTCCAGCTTCAGGCATCACCGCTTGCTACAAAACTGGGGCATGCTGGGAGCAGGAGGGGGGGTCCTGGGATGGCATGTAGTTTTGTGTCTGCCTAGTCCTCCTGTAGGCGGCAGTATAACCCGGCAGTATTTCATCTTGAACTTGGTACATGATTTTCTGAGCTGGGCCGCGCCGGTCGCACGTTCTCACCTGTTGCCCCTCGTTAACCCCCAATTATCTCTCCATAGGAGTCGCAGATGGCCAGACTGGGACTCCTGGCGGCCGCCTTCTCCAGTGGCCATGTTTACAATGGGGTCACATTTGAGGTGGCAGAGTAGAGTTGCACCAGCTCCCAGTCCAGGCTTCATGTGGGAGCTGTACAGGTCTTGGAACTCCAGATACACCGGTGAGATCCGTACATTGGAGCCGTCCTGCCCAACGGTTCCATCCATCCATCCAGCCACACAGCACGGCCCTTCCTGGCAGGACACGGGACGTCTCTCTGCTGCAGTTCATGAACACTTGCAGGTCTTGTCCCTCCCCCAGCCTGTGATTGGACAGTGAAAGGAGAAGCAGTAGACTGATGGGCTCATCCCTTTTGTCACTATGCTCTCTTCTCCTATCAGCATGCTCTCTTCTCCTGCAGAATACTGCTTCTCCCTTCTCCAGTCTGATCCCTGCTGCGCAGGGACTGCAAGAGGCCGTCACCGGGTCACCTTCAGGTACTGGCCCGGCTTGTATTGAAATGCGTTTAATGATTTACTGAGATGAGATCATTTGCATCCCTCGTATCTGCCGGAGTCTGAATCTGACAGCCAGGCGGGTCGCATTTCCACAAAGGGGGTCTGCAGCCCCCCTTTCCCTCCCCCCCCTCCCTC